CTTACCCGAATATATACACGAGGGACAATGCTAGTGAAGTGATTAAGAAACTCTTCTCTCAGTGTGGACCTGAAGATAATAATGACTTACTGTGGTATGATGTTATGATTAATGTGTACATGTACGTGCAGTGTAGCCTCCTTTGGGCTAAATTTCACCAAAAATGGAGAGGAGATAATTCTCCATTTTTATAACGTATTTTGATGCATATACATGTTCTTATGTTACGTAGAAAGTTTGAGCTGATTCCAATTAAATTTGGATTTTTTATGAATTTTTAAAGTTGCTCCAAAATCGGGCCAAAGTCCCTGTACTATAGTACAGGGTCATGGGTCAAATTTCACCAAAAATGAAAAGAAGAGAATTCTTCATTTTTATTACATTTCCTGATACATATACATGTACTTATGTTGCGTAGAAAGTTTGAGCTGATTCTGATCAAATTCAGATTTTTTATGAATTTTTAAAGAGAGACTACATATGTATACTGTATTTTTATGATAATTTCTATTTCCAGTGAATACAATCGCTCCTATACCTACAACCTGTTGGATGAGTATCACGACAATCAAGCCACCTCTAAAGTATACGAGGCGATGCTCCTCCTCTCCCTAGCGATGGTTGCTAAGGCCATACTCACTATATTCACATTCGGAATGAAGGTTCTATAATATTTTAATTTAAATTTTATTTTAAAATTCAATTTAAAGGTACCAGCTGGTCTATTCATCCCGTCAATGTTTGTGGGGGCGTGTGTTGGAAGAGTGATTGGAATAGGAATGGAACAAATTGCTTTGTAAGAAAACTTAATTTTTACTTATTATTATCATTACTATTACTATTATTATTATTTATTATAATTAATTATTATTAATTATTATTACTGCCCCTCCCCCTATAGTATATATAAGGATTCTTGGTTCTTTAAATTATTCTGTTCCCCTCATGAAGCCTGTGTCACTCCTGGGCTGTACGCTATGATAGGAGCAGCAGCTGCTCTGGGCGGAGTCACTAGAATGACAGTATCTCTTGTGGTCATTATGTTTGAGTTGACAGGAGGCCTGAGCTACATAGTACCGATAATGGTGGCTGTGATGATCAGTAAATGGGTGGGAGACGCCATTGTTAAAGATGGAATGTATCCTTTAAAATAATAATAATAATAATAATAATAATAATAATAATAATAATAATAAAATAAGAGTATTAATAATACTAATGAAGATGTACATGTACATGAATACTATTTATAATAATGATGGTTAGCAATTTTTAAGTGATTTTTCATTTTCCCACGCCCACACATATAACGAGTTATTGTTTCTTAATGGTGTCGGTTCAGTTATGATGGTCACATTCATTTGAATGGTTTCCCATTCCTGGACAGTAAAGAGGACTTTATTCATGATACTCTGGTATGTGACGTCATGAAACCTCAACCAGG